CTTTTCCCTAAAGGTGCCTTGTGTAACTTTGATCAAAATGATTGTAACACACATGCCTTTAAAAAATATGCATACAAATGCAGTCATTCAATATTTTTCCACATATTGTTTTTTTCCTCAAACAGTGTATCTTGATCTCCTTATGTTGGCATGCAAGTCCTATTCAGGACTATATAGTACTTCTTCACAGAGTGTCATTGCAGCCAGTTACAAACATGTGACAGTGAACAAATCTGTACATGTGTCTGGCCACCCATTTGCAGGCATTTCTTGGGGTAAACTAAAAATGTAATTGTCAGAACAAAGATATGTGAATTTTATTTAATTAATTATCTGCTTATATACTAATCTGTGTCTAAAATTTTGGCATCTACTTCCAAATTGCTTTCTAAAAATACTTTTCAGAGGCATTTGGAAGGGTAGTCACCCCAAGACTAGGCCCTGCCACACAGGCCTGTTGTGTTTACGTGGCCTATGTAATGGCTTCCCTTTTCTGGGCATCTGAAGACTGCAGCTACCCAGCGTCTGAGTAACTCGTCTCTTGTATGAATTAAAAAGTGAGAGTGTTTGCAGAGGTGCCCGCTGCCGGGCGGGGCCTGCCAGTGCCCTCCTGCAGTGGAGGTGGACTTCCCTGGCAGCATAATGCCTGCCTTGTGCTCTGACTCACCTTCGCTCTCATCCGCCTTGGTAAACACGCCAGTTAGTGAGGCTCCACCTTTTAAAACCAGTCGCAATCAGGCAGCCCAGGTTTCTGCCCCACAGTCCCCAGGGGGAACTCTGATGTCTCAGCGCCACCTCCTATGGGTGAGCGACACATCAGGCCATTATGAGGGTATGGGTGTACACCACTCTCTAGAACTTGCCTGTGAATCAGATGCATTTTAATCAACTGAGTCATCATTAAGAAACTAAATGTAGGTCCAAGAAAGTCCGAACTCAATCCCTATCTACTGGGACATTTCGCCCTTGGAATGTGTGACCATTGCCAGAGCTACAGGTAACTTTCGTTATTGGTGTTACTGTTTTCATCTCTTGGCTGGCGCCACCTGCTGCCTTTCCAGCCGGTACCTCTTCCTCCAGGGCCACTGGAAAATGAAATAACCTTGCTGAGCACCCTATTTATTTAAAAGATTTCCATTTTTAGTGGGGTAAACAAAGAGGAGTTACCCAGAAAAGAAGCCCACAGAAGAGAAAAGCAGCTCTTACTGAGGTGTTGTGACAGATGACACTAAGGAAGTGTCATCTATCCCTACTGGCCCACTGAGTGTGCTCAGCAGCCACACCTGCCCCACCTCTCAGTCAGGAGTAGGAGCTAGAGATAAAGGGGGAAATGCAATCAAGGTGATTTGTCCCAGCCCTAATATATGTTCCCCCCTCTTCTAAGAGGTCCTCTGTGTCCCTGAATAACTTTCAGTCTCTCTTCCCAGTGTGTGGGGCTGTGAATGGTAGACATTTCCCACCCTGTGGCCAGCCTCTCCCCATGGCAGCTGTGGTCAAGGAGGCCTCTGGATAAGTCACACATTGTCAACTCACTTGTCCCTGCAGAAAAACAGAAAACAGGTTTTTCCTTTTTTTTACACCCTGGGGGAATCTTGAAGCTCCCCTGAGCTGGGATGAGAGCCTGAACTTCTACCTTTGGTTTCTAGCAGTTTCCCTGTGGCCTCTGCTGCCTGGTGGGTTCTGACCTGGTTCTCAACAGTCCGTGTGGGTCACCCATCCCCCAAGGGCTCTGCATTGCTCCCACCCTCCCTAGCTCTGGCACAGCAAGTTATAATTGAAAACCTTTGGCACTTTACAGCTTTCTCAACAGAAAAATTGAGATAATAATACACGGTATTAGGGAAGGTTGTGAAGGTTGAGTGAGTTCATGTATTGTAACTATAATTGGGGGAGAGGGGAGGGGAGTCAGTGAGGGAGGGCCCGCTCCCAATACACACACACACACATTTGTGAGCCATTGAATACAGAATATGTATCAAATTGAAAACAACTCCAGTGTTTTAGTCTTTGATGCTAAGAGGAGGTGGTCATTAACAAAGATTATATGTCTTTTTAATGAGCAATTCCATTTTAGAGATAGTCTGTCATTCCGTTGCCATTTTAAAACTGAACAGGCAGAAACATCTAGTAAGTCACTGGGGAGACAGTGAAAGAGCCATTTGGATGAGTCCATAATCACTGGGTCTTTGATCCACATCTTGCCTTTGCTATGTACTAATTGGGAGATCTCAGCTTCCTCCTGTGAGATGGGGAGTGTTAACCTGTCTCTGATAAGGTGGTTGGCATAGTAAGTGGACTGGCTTCCACCAAACAGCTTCTTGTTTTCATATGCAGGCACTCTTTGGCTTACAAATGAGGTTATGTCCCAATGAGCCCATTGCAATTCTTTAAAAATTGTAAATTGAAGGTGCATTTAATTTCTCCTAACCCCGCAACCACCACAGCTTAGCGACACAGTGCACTGTCATAGAGCATGGGTCAGTGACGTTCAAGATCAATTGGCTGCTGAGGAGCTATAGCTGACCAGCATTGTAACAGCATATGGTACTGCGTGTGGCTATCCCAGGAAAAGATCAAAATTCCAGTTACAATTTCTACTGACTGCATATTGTTTTCACACTATCGTAAAGTTAAAAAAAAACAAAATCATCAGTCCAACCATAAAGTCAGGACAGTCTGTAGTAACTGCTCGGGCCACGCTGTTGGTTCCTACTCTACTGTAGATAGAAGGCTCGAGAACCAGGGGAGGGAATCTTCAGTGTCCAGTGATATTTGGGGCCGTGAAAATCAATGAACTCCAAAGGGATCTGGGGAATACCTGCTTTTAGGAGGAGGAAACTGCCTCTGAGTGGGAGTGGGGGACAGGTAGGACTCTTATCACCAGGCAGTGAGGTGGGGAGAAAGACAGTGGAATTGGATGCCCAGGCGGACACTGGTCACCATGAGAAGGTGGCCACTGTGAATCAGTACACACACACTGACACAGAGCTCCTTTGTCTCTTGTCCTTTGTAGAAGTTAAATAACCACTTATCAGTAGCCTTCTGTTTTGTTTAACTGTGCTTATGTATTTCAAAGAAGAAAAAACATTTGTGGCCCTTCTTGAGTAGGTGGACATTTCTTGGGGTTAAAACACCACTGACACACCTACAGATTGGTTACTCCAGGACCTTCGTTTTCTATGTAGAGTAACTTCTGTGGGTTCTGGGAAAGCTGGAAAAGGAAGTGAAGGAGGTGGGGCCTGGGGAGGAGCCGCCACACTCTGGTTGGAAGTAGACCTCAGGCATTGGATGGAAGGCCGTGAGTCACGCTGCAGCCTGTGCTTTTCCTCTCTTCTGCTTTGCCACAGAGGAAGAAGGAGCGGTGAGGGCTGAGGTAATTTTGTAGAACTGATGCTGCGTGTGGTTCTGAGAAAGCCAAATATATCATATAGATCATTTCCCTCTGCTAGGCAGCATGGGTGGGCAAACCTTCCAGAACTTCTTTCCACAGCTTGAGCCCATGGCACCGAATTGATTTTCCTACGGCGGACCCTTCTTGGCTGATTTTTTTGACGATTGCTTTCCTCAGAGCCTCTTAGAATGTGCACTTAGCAAGGAATCTGCCTCCCTTAGAGAAACAATTGAACACATTTTAAAAATGAAATTTAGCGTGGCTTCCATATCGTCTCTTTTCACCTCCTGCTTCTCTCAAGGAGCCTCCTATTCCCTTTTCTCATCCAACTTTTGACGTCTGAGCAGCAGCCTTTCTATATACACTTATTCAGAATTTTTTCTCTGCTTTGTCCAACCCCCCCAAGTAGTGAACCCCTGGGAGGGGGCGGGGCTGGGCCTCACCCAGTTCAGTGGTCCCCACACTCACCCAACACATGGAGTTTTCAAGAGGATATATGAAGTGTTTGAAGGCAAGGGACCATATTCCAATATCTTGTCACATGCCTGCCATTCATTATTACATATGTATTGGCTTTTTTTTTTTTTTGGCTCCTATTGAGTGTAGATTATAATGAATGTCCTTCCTTTGGTCTCCCCTTGCAAATTCAAATTGAAAATATTTTATATCTATTGTAAATGGCTCCTTCTTCAGGAAGTCACGTCTTCTGCCTCAGCCAGGACAAAGGCGTCTTTCCCCACCCTGGAGGTATATTTTGAGTGTGTTCATGTATTGACTGTCGATGATGCATGGATTGCTTTGTCCATCATCATCTAGGTGTCCTTCAATGGACTTGAGCTCCCAAGTGCCACCACTTAGAGTGAGTCTGTGCTCCAGCCTGAGGACTTGGGAAATAGGCAAACATATGGAGGATTGCACCACAGAAATGCCAAGTGAAAGGAAGCCCTGCAGTCCCCAGTGTTCAGAAGCCACTGCTAGTCAGCGTGGCTCTGGTGTCTTGTATAGCTGCCCTGCCCATTTCTGGTTAGTACAGAAATGGTCACTCATTGCAATGTGCTGAATGTGGAAGGCCAGCATTACACGGACAATGATAGGTTGATGACTTGAGGAATTATGACAACATGACCTAGTGATTGCCTGATACATATTCTTTCCACCTCTGGGTTCTATCATGGAGTTTGAAAAACAAGTCTGGAAAGTTTTTATTTCCTTGCCCATTTTCACCCACAAGTTCAATAAACACAGTAAGATTTTAGGAGGTATCAGAGATTGTCCTTCTTGTTTTGAGCTGTTCCCACACTGTTTCCTTTACACACGAAACGTGACCCTCACAGCAACTCTGTGAAGTGCATCTTATTTCTCTCATTTTACAAATGAGAAGAGTAGCTTCAGCCACGCAGTGTGCTTGAGTAACTTTCCCCTATTTATCTGTAGGTGACAAACCTGGAATTTGAATCCAAGTCTATGAACGCAAAATCTTTGCTGCAATTTATCTGAGAAATATTTGAAAAATTAGGTTTTGTTGTTGTTGTTTTTTTAAACTCCAGAAGGATGTGAGCTGTCCTAACAGTTATGTGATTTTTTTTTTGTTGTTTTTTGTTGTTCCCAGGGGAGCAAAGGCGCCTACCGGTACCACTGGCAGAGTCACAATGTCAAGCACAGTGGGGTGGACGACATGGTGCTGCTCTCCAAGATCACAGAGAGCGCCATCGTGGAGAACCTGAAGAAGAGATACATGGATGACTACATCTTCGTATCCTTACTGGTTGCTGTGTTATGATACTTTGCACAGTCAAAACGTAGCTTTATACCTGGTCAGAGAGCCACCTGAAGGTCTGAATTTTTATGCACTCACAGCATTTTCACCGTTTGGGAATGAGGAGCTGGACTTTTGTGTCCCTTGGTTCATGCTATGAAAGGGCAAAGATGATGGATGTTAAATCATCTTCCTGGCATTTCACAAGGTCAAGTTTCGGCTGGTATTTCACTCTATGGTATTGTCCCTTTGATGTGCTGTGGCCCACACATGGTATCTCTAGATCTTAGAAACTTAGAGAAAGTCCTGGTTTGCAGAGAGTCATATCAGTAATGTAGCGAGTTTCATTCCAGACTTAAAAGGTTTGTAAAAGATTGACAATTTGGCTTTTGTTTTGTTTTGTTTTTGCATGAGGCAGTCGTTTTGCATCTTTGTTTACTAAAGGAAACATGAGAATGCAGATCAACTATTGAAAATGCCTGACATTCTTGAGTTGTTCTTTATGTTTCAGTTTTAGCTTGCCGGATGCCATTTCATTATAGGGCTTTTAAAAATGCAGAATGGAAATTTGATTCAAATGTGTGTTGACTTCATTATAAACAGAGAACTGTGATATTTGCTTCAGTTCCTATAAGATTCGAGAGTTCTGATCAGTGCAGCTATGGGAAGAAATGTGCATGTGGTATCATGGGAGTTAGCCATTGATGTGCAAAGATCTGTGTGGAACCTGCATGATGGTACTGAAAGGTTTAACTCTGATGCTGGTGGTGACTTCTGAAGGTATGGTGTCAAGGATGACCTAGGGCCAGGGATAGTGGCGCATGCCTGTAATCCCAGAGGCGCAGTAGGCTGAGGTAGGAGGATTTCGAGTTCAAAACCAGCCTCAACAACTTAATAAGGCTCTAAGCCTACCTGACTCACGAAGTCTAAAATAATTACTTTCAGGAATGGGGTATAACTCACTGGCATAGGGCTTGCCTAGTATGTATGAGACCCTAGGTTTGATCCCCAGCATGCAAAAATAAAAATCAAATAATTATAGGCTGGCCCTTTGTAGAATACATTTATTAAATCTTGATCTAGACACCTATCTAGAGTTTCCGGTAATTTAATTGAATGGAAGCAATTGTGTTTACTTCAGAACTTTTATTTAGCCAAAAAAAAAAAAAAAAAAAAGCTGGGGGTGTAACTCAGTGGTAGAACACTTGCTTAGCATGCCCAAGGCCCCGGGTTTGATCCCCAGAATTGAAAAAAGAAAGAAAAAAATGAAAATATGCTTCTTTGTATTTATCATCATCCAAAAAAAATTTAATCACTTTTATGTCAGGACCTGGGATTCTTAGAAACTGACAGATGAACTTAGGAAGAACTGGGTGGCAGAATCTGGTTCTGAGCTGCCTGAGTTCAGGCTTTACTCTGTGTGGATTTGGTGACCTTAATAGGTTTTGTGATCTGTGGGCCTTGGTTTCCTCATCTGTATAATGAGAGTGATGATTAAATCTCCCCCAGGTGAGACTGCTATTGGTGAAATGAAATCATGCAGTCAGCGCAGAGGGAGAACAAGCTGTTAATGAACACACATGAAGACAAATGTCTAAGTTCTGATGTTTCTGAATTATTTTAAGATTGGTTATTGTAAATTCATGTGCATTTTACCATAGAAATTCGTTTAAATGGACAGTTAATAAGCCCATAAAAACCTTGGGATGTAGGCTAAAGTTACTGTTAACACTGAAACATGTTTATTGCTTTGGGATTTTTTGGCACTGGGGATTAAAGCCAGAGGCACTTTACCAGAACCACATCCCCAGCCTATTTATTCATTTTATTTTGAAACAGGGTCTTGCTAAATTGCTGAAGCTGGCTTTGAACTTGTGATCCTCCTACCTCAGCCTTGCAAGACACTGGGGTTATAGGCCTACACAACCACTCCCTCCAAGGAAACCATTGTTTTTGATAAGCTGGATAAAAACAGACAAAAATAATGTCAGTAGTTGTCAGGAGTCAGTCCATCCTCCTTCCAGACAGCCTCACTCCTCCCCATAAAGACTGTTTACTCCTAAAGCACCAGAAGCTTCTTCAGGATAGGAACTGTGTCTTGTGTATGAAGAACAAAACATAAAAAGCAATTAAAGCAACACATGTTCATCTCATGTGACTTGTAAAACACAGCCAAGCAAAGAGGAGAACACTAAAACACTCTTAGTGTGCACCATTCACTTTGATCACATGTTGATCATATTCACCTATGATTTCTTGCTGCTGTTATTTTTAACAAAAATGGCGTCATTCTGCGTTGTGTATTTCTTGCTTTCCTGCACAATTTTTGTCATGATGCATTGTATTTATGTTCATTGAAAACTTGTTGACTCTCTTAGACTTGCTTTTTAAATTCAAACAACCAAAACTTAAATGACTCACATAGAGGGGGCTGATTAATGCCTTTGAATTAATGCCTTTGAATCAATAACTGACTAATGTTGTGTTCTACCAAGGAAATGAGTTACTTGACCACTAATGACTTTATGTTTTAGAAACCTCTACCCACTCAATATATGGGAAGCCCAGTATAAGTGTGCTTTCTATCACTTTGAGCTTTGGGAGGCTTGATGGTTCTGATGGATGTTTATGAAATAATACTGGGTGCCTCACTGCAAACCTATTCCTCTGATAAGTGATAAAAGTCTCCGTTACTACTTCATGTTAAGGGGGAGATACAATAGCATAGCATTATTGTATAAATAAGAGTTGACTTTTTTTCTTTCCTGTGTTTAATTGTTAAGGCAAAAAGAGCCATTGTTATAAAATTTCTCATTTTACCTCTTCTTGCATTTAATACCAGCACTGCTGTGTATTGAAGGTCAGCATTTGGCACAATCTATTGTTCATGCATTCAGACTGAATGCACATTTCTTTGTTCTACTTTAGGAAAAGAAAATCTGCCTAAGAAATGCTGACATTTGACAGCAATAAAACCATGTATTTTTGAGCTGTTTATCCTAAGATAAGGAAGTTTGAATTTACCATCCATTTGTCATGAGGAATGCCACAATTACATTCTAAAATATTGGAGGAAACTTAAAAAAAAAAAAAAGGAGAATACGTCAATGTCCTTTTGTGCTTCACATCATTTGTAGCCACTTGGGTGATGAAAGCAGTTCCGGTTTTCATCAAAGTACTTCATGCGTAATTGGGTCCAACTTTCTACCAAACTTGGTTTTTTTTGCTCAAAGATCATACTCAAATGTGTCTGGCATTTTAAATCCTTGAATTAGGAGTCCATACTTTTCTGCCAGACTGATGGGAGGTCTAGGTAGCGAAAGTAGTTGTTCAGAGCGAGGTATGGCCCTCAGCAGCCCCTTGCTGGGCAGCAGGCTGCAGTGAGACCTTGCGCTCAGGGCTGGAGCCAATCTCACGGGTGTGATGTTGGGCAGGTCTCCTCACCTTCTGCCCCATGTCAGTGGTAGATCCAAGGAAGTTGACTCCTCACTGTGGGCAGTTTTGGGGAAGTCACACACCATTAAAATGTTCTTAGCTTAGCTCTTAGTGAGACCATTAAGAGCAAACAAGCAGAAGTTGTACTACCAGTACATTCCATAAAGGAAAGAATATTTTAATGCTAAAAATGTATGAAGGAAATGATCTAAAAATAAAGAATAAACCTTTATGTGGAATGAATTGAGCCTTATGAAAAATTCAGTGCATTATTTCTGTTTTTGTCATTCTTGCCGCAGGTCGAAGAAAACTCATAGATCTATGGACCAGCATTTGAGAACCAATCAATTAAAGATCTGCTGGGCCCAGTCTGTCTCTCATACTCTACTAAATAAGATGGCATTTACTTTTTTTCTGGTTTATCATATCTTTATATCTCCATGCATTTTGAAAATTAACCTTGGACCACACCTTCATTGCCCAAGGTTATGTGGGTGGAGCCTGTCCCGAAGCTTTTCTAAAGGCACGCTGAATTATGTAGTAGGGAGTCAGGGTGAGTGTGGAAGGAGTGACCTGGAGCTCCCAGCCCAGCCGAGCCTTGCATTCTCAGGGAAATCAAGAGGTCTCTGTAGATCCAGTGTGTTGGAAAGTTGAAAATTGTTCAGATAAACAATGAAGCCAAATGTTTATCTGAAAAGGATAAAATATGTTTGTTTCTATTAAGTTTAAAATTCTCTTGTCTTAATTCTCCTGATTTAGGGAAGTGTGTGGCTGCTTAGCAGGAATTAGGCCACATTGCCCATATAGAATTGCCCTGGAGAACCCTCCTGGGAAACTTAAGGGAGCAACTAAAATTTCCCCCCTTCCTACCTGGGTCATTAATTCAGGATTGGCCTACAACAGTCCCAAAGAGGTTTTCTTCTCTGAATGTTTCCTTAACTAGGCTATTAGCAGAATTTATATCATCTAGTTAGTGAAAAATCAAGAATTCTTAAGGCATCCCTTTGTATAGCAGATTATTAACAATCCAGAAAAAATGTTGGTTACCTTTGGAGCTCAGATGCAGCTCAATTCTATTTATTGGGTAACCAAGGCTGAAGAGGGAATGCTTGGGCTTATGTCCTCAGGGCAGCCTTCATTCTTTGTGTGCAGAGATCAGTTTGTCTAGGATAGGCAGCATTAACAGCATTCCCTTTACCACCCAGGGAAGGGTCAGGTTTGCCCACCTTTGCTTTGACCTGGCGATAGATGTGCCCATAGAATACCCCTCCTCCTCCTCACCCGCAATGAGGTTAGTTTCTAGCAGTGCTGTACTTGTTCATCGTTGGATTGACCATAGAGTCATCACATTTGTTTAGCATGAAAATCCAAATGGGAGGCAACTCTCCATTCCGTTTTGATTAGGTCTCCACCATGTGGAAAAGATACTAAAAATAACTTAAGGAGGGTGCATTTTAGAGCACAGAAAGGATCCCAGAATCTAAGAAGAGACATAGTCCTTCCTCCTTCCTGCTTCAGCTCCTTGCACTGTTGCTAATTTAGGGTTGATAGGTAAAATATGGGGTGTCCCTCTGGTTAAATTTCAATTAAAAAAAAAAAAAGAAAACCAAATAACTTTTTAATGTAAGTATATACCAAATAATACTTGAGGCATGCTTAAAAATTACTTTTCTGACATTCAAATTTAACTAACTTTCATATATTTTTATTTGCTAAATCTTACAATGCCACTAATGCTAAAAAGGAAAAGTTTTGTAGCTGGGAATGTAGCTCAGTGGTTAGAGCACTTGCCTAGCACATACTAAGGCCTGGGTTCAATCCCCAGCATGGCAAAAAAAACAAACAGACAAACAAAAAACCAAAAGCCATAATCCCAGCAACTCTGGAGGCTGAATCAGGAGGATAGCAAGTTCAAGGTCAGCTGCAGTAATTTATCGAGGCCCTAAGCAACTTGGCAAGACCCCGTCTCAAAATGAAAAATAAAAAGGGCTGGAGATGTAGCTCAGTGGTTAAGCACCCTGGGCTTAATCCCTGGGCACTAAATAAACAAATAAATTCAAATTAAAAAACAAATTTGAGAGAAAGATGTTCATGATTCTTTTCTCCTTCATGAGGACAAGGGTTTTTAATCAATTCTGTCTGTATTGTTCACTGCTGAATTCCCAACATCTACAACAGTGCCTGGCATATGGCAAACACCCAATTCAAATTAGTTGATCGTTGAATGAATAAAAGGAATTTTTTATGTTCTAATAACATTTTGGGTGCATCTTCTCCAGGCTTTCCTGGATCGCCTGAGCAGAAATAATACTCTCTTCCCCTAAACTCGATATATGGTTTATAATTTTCTTCTCTAAATATTATCTTATTGATGGCACTGAGTTCCCCTGAGCTTCTGAAAAGCATGACTGTTCAGTTCGTCTAATTCCCCTATTTGTAAGCTAAGTAAATGAATATGTCTTTAGTCTACCTATAAAGTTCCAATTGAAAAACGTGTTGTTCGAGGAGAGAAATAATAACTGCCTATTTCACTCCTTGGCCATTTCTGTTCTGTCCACACCCGCCCTCACCCCAAGTGTTTCATGTGCCCAATCTGGAAAGAATATGCTTTAACTTATTTAAAATAATGATTTCTTTTTGTAGCACCTTGGTAATTCATTATTATTCTTGAGGGGAAACAAAGCTTTTGGATAATTGCTTTTGTCTTTGTTTATAACCATTTAGAAAACATGTACATGAGCTTTCTATTTGAACAGTCGTTATGAGTTCTTGATAACATCTGGTTGCTTAATTTGAAAAATGTGTAGCTGTGAAGATTGATGATGGACCTTAACCGGGTTAAATCCAGACATACATAGGATCGGTATTAATCTCAGTCAACCCTTTCAAGCAGATGCCCTATTTTGGGGAAAAGGAAATTGAAATGTACCAAGGAGCGGTAAGTTATGTGCCATATAAATTACTGTAGTGTTCAGGGCTTTTATGATGCATAAATAGTTTTTTCTTGAAGTTAACAATGCATTTGCATTTTCTTATGAATTATTTATTGGGGAAGCTCAAGTAAGTGACATTATTTGATTCTTTAATGATGTGCTGCTGTTTAGAGTACAACTCGAAGAAACACAGGCCAAACCCTTGAGCCTTATTTGTCTACAAAATTAGATAAATGAGTGTAGAATCCTCTTTGTGAGGGAGATTTTCCTGCTTCTGCATATGCCACATAATTCTAAGGAATAAAAAACAATAACAGGTTAAAAAAATAAGGCAATGGGAATATCCTTTCAGAATTAAACCCTTAGCTGTGGCTTATATGACTTGAAAATGAAAAATGAATATTTTATTACTCCATTTATTAATGTGGAACCATCTCCTATCAACTTTAGCTCCATAGTCATTTCAGTTGTTAATAAAAATAGAAGCTGTGATCCTTGTTAATATATTTTATTTTGCGGTTCAGCACTTACTTCCCTTGGTCTTCCCATCTCTGCCTCTTCCTTTCTTCTGCCACTCCTGTCCTCTGTAGCAGAAGCACAAGAGCATTCACTAATTCTGACCCTTGGAAGTCAAACAAAAGAGAGCCCACACAGATTCATCAGTTGAAGTGGAAGGCAACTTAGTCAGAGCAGGAGCCCACCCCAGTGTTGCCAGATGAATGGTGCTGGTAGCTGGAGCCGAAGGAGGCTGCCACGCGAGAGGCCTTTGATAAAGCTGCCTTTATGGAGGCCCAGCACAAGGGAAACACTGTCTGCAGAGGCCAGGCCCTGCCCTGGCCCCCAGTGGGAGGACCCTGAGACAGAGCTGATTCTGCATCCTTGATGGCAGCCAGGGCGCCATGCATGGAAATACTATGCTTGCGTTTCCTTCCAGTTCTCTGAAAAGGGCTGTTGCCTGTGAGTCCCTTTTAGATCATTCATCTATCAAAGAATTGTCTTTATAGGAATGTAGAATTTTTTTGGTTCCAGGGATTGAATCCAGGGAGTCTTAATTACTGAGCCACATCCCCAGCTCTTTTTATTTCGAGACAGGGTCTTGCTAAGTTACTTATGGCTTCACTAAGTTGCTGAGCCTGGCTTTGAACTTGATATCTTTCTCCTTCAGCTTCGAGAATCACTGGGATTATAGACAAGTGCCACCACACCTGGTTCTTTTTGGTAATTTTTGAGGGAGTGGTAAAGGTGGGCACCAAGAAATTGAATAGAGCAGGGCTGAAGTCAGGCTGAGACAGTGAATTTATTAGGTACAGAAAAATGTTTTAGTTTGTATTTGTGCATAGCTAAGCAGTCTCATGAGACTAAATCATTAACCCAGGATCCTCCTTCCTCAGCCTCCCAAGTCCCACTGGCTTTACAGGGGTGTGCCACCACACCTGGCTGAAATGTAATATTTTTGTCAGGGGGATGGAGAGGGCATCGGAGATTGAACTCAGGACACTTGACCACTAAGCCACATCCCCAGCCCTATTTTGTATTTTATTTAGAGACAGGGTCTCACTGGGTTGCTTAGTGCCTCATTTTTGCTGAGGCTGGCTTTGAACTTGGGATCCTCCTGCCTCAGCCTCCCAAGCCACTGGGATTATAGGATATGCCACTGTGTATAATTTTTTAAATTGCTAATTGTAACAGTGTTATAAAGTACCATGTAACAGTGTTCCTGAGTACCATGCACTGTGTGTGCATGCAACAACTTTAATAAAACATCCATGGATGCTGGCTGTATCCTACTATGTCTACCTCCACTTCACAGGTGAGGAAACTGAGGCTCAAAAGTGACATATTAGGGGCTTGGGTTGTGGCTCAGTGGTAGAGCACTCGCCTCGCATGTGCAAGACCCTGGGTTCGAATCTCAGCACCACATAAAAATAAATGAGTGAAATAAAGGTATTGTGTCCAACTACAACTAAAAAAATAAACTTTAAAAAAAAAAAAAAAAAAAAAAAAAAAAAAAAAAAAAGTGACATATTAGAATTTACCAAGCTAGGATTTGAAGTCGGGTCTCCTTGATTTTAGGGTCTCAGGAGATGGGAAATGCCTACTCTGTAATTCTCACAGGTAGCTAGCTCAGAGGCTCAGTAAGATCCTAGATGGGAAACCAATTTAGAAGTACAGAGGAGACACTAGCTTTCATTCAGCAGCTTGGAAGCCTCACTGGGCAGTGACTTGCCCACACCTTTCCCTCGGTTACCCCCAGTGTTCTCTCCACTCCATTTCTTTCCATTTTCCATCCTCTTTTCTGTCTTAAAATCCTCTACTTCCCTGTTTTCAAAGTGACATTAAAACAATATTGAACTAGCAAGATTTGGGTTAGGAGAAGCTGGTCTAAGACTCTATTATGAGGTTCCAGTCAGGCATCCTCTTCTGATAATGAAGGCAGGTTTAACATACTATTCTGGTCCCTGAGTAAAGTTTTCCAGTCACCCAGTCCCAGGATAGCTTCCAGCTCTGACTGGGCAGTTCCTCTGGGGAGCCCTGAGCATGGGATATACCAGTGTTTGCCCTGTGTGCAGGCACCAACTCCCCTTCTCCTCCCCACTAAATTTGGTCTTCTAGAGCTTGGCAATGGGCAGCAATTTCTCAGCCAGGCCCCTTTTCCTGTAGTAAGTGATAAGGCTCAAAGATGGAATAGGTTCTGCTTTACCTTTACAAAAGTGAGTTTCCTGTCCATCTTCTCTGTTACTCTCTGTTATTAGTGCTCTGTGTGGTTTATAGCATGAGCATTCTTAACCCCACTTCAGAGCTGGGAACCAGTGAAGCATTCTAAATGTCTGCTCATCCTGGATCTGGTATTCTTTTAACTTTGAGGTTCAGTAATCTTTTTTTTTTTTTTTTTTTTTTTAAGAGAGAAAGAGAGAGAGAGAGAGAGAATTTTAATATTTATTTTTTAGTTTTCGGCGGACACAAGATCTTTGTTTGTATGTGGTGCTGAGGATCGTACCCGGGCTGCACGCATGCCAGGCGAGCGAGCTACCGCTTGAGCCACATCCCCAGCCCTAGTAATCTTAAATTTAAGACTACTTTATCCAGCTATCCACCACAGTGAAGTGCTTTTCTCTTTAGTAATTTTCTTGTACCAGGGATTGAACCCAGTAATGCTTAACCATTGAGCCACATCCTCAGCCCTTTATTTGTTTATTTTTTTTTAATTTAATTTTATTTATTTTTTTATTTTGAGACAGTGTCTCTCTAAGTTGCTCAGGGCCTCACTAAGATGCTGAGGCTGGTTTTGAACTTGATATCTTTCTCCCTTAGCTTCAAGAATCACTGGGATTATAGACAAGTGCCACCACACCTGGTTCTTTTTGGTAATTTTTGAGGGAGTGGTAAAGGTGGGCACCAAGAAATTGAATAGAGCAGGGCTGAAGTCAGGCTGAGACAGTGAATTTATTAGGTACAGAAAAATGTTTTAGTTTGTATTTGTGCATAGCTAAGCAGTCTCCTGAGACTAAATCATAAACCCAGGAATTTTTGGTGTAGCAGAATATTTTTCCCCTACTGGCCAAACTAGTTTATCCCTTTAAAGAACCACACCTCCTTGCTTTTTCTTATGGAAAATCCACAGTCTCACTTAATTTCCTCTGAGATCCCAGAATCTATAAAGAAAAGAAAAATGTACATAGGAATTTAGAATTCTATTCAAAATCAAACCCAAGTTTTTGGTTGGGCTCTTCTGACCTGTTGCCCAGGTGCCTTCAGAAACATTTAGCAGTAAAACCTCTTTACAGAGGCGTGCTTGAGTGGAAGGGTGTGGTGTTGAAGGACCCAAAGACGTTGGGTCATGTCTGAAGGCTGAGTCACACACATACCCAGGAAGTGTCCTTCCAGATTCCATCTAAATTTTCTTAGGGTGTAACTCTTTGTAAACTAGGGATATTTTATAAATTCTTGTACCATGCAAACTTTACCATGTAATTATAGGCATTGGAACTATATAGTGGTGGGTTCACTTCCAAGGCCAATAAAAGCATTCAGTGTGTTGCTCTTTCTAACATGTATTTTTGGTTTTGTTTCTGTTTTTGCCTTTCTAGGCACAGTATGAAAATCCACCACATATTTATGCCCTTGCAGATAGTATGTACAGAAACATGATCATCGACAGAGAGAACCAGTGCGTCATCATCAGGTATGAGAAAGACCATATTAGTAGGTGGGAGGACGCTGTGCCACTGTCCTTATAGAGTTCTGCCGGAAGCGGTGGTTTTGCAACAGCCTCTGATGTCACAGGCTGGTTAATGTGTCTGCATGACAAGCAGCCTGGCTGCTTTGTCCTGGTTTATTTCATAATTCGACATCATTGAGTGCCAGATCATAAAAGCTTTCAGTTTCCATAGGGTTGCTGTTTTTGCCCTGTTGCTTAAGACATTGAGGCTTTAGGGCACATAGTACCAGCCAGACCTTTCTGATCATGGGGGCAAAGATGCTGTCGTGACCCTGGATGGAAATCATAAGCATCTCCCCTTCATCTGACTGTACTGTGACTTGGCTCTGAAATGATAACCTTAGTATTACAAGCATAGTAACTGTGTTTCACTATGTTGTCTCTGGGTTCCACTTTCTAGGACCTTAATAATTTACAGTTCAAATTTGAACTTTTTTTTTATATTATTCTGTCATTTGGTTTGAGTTTTTTTGAGGACATTACTAATAAATGCCAGTAGTGGGTATCTGTAGCTATATTTCATAATCCTTTTAACCTGACCCAGGTTCTGAGTGTTGGCTGGGTTTAGGTGCTTTTAAATTTATTTATTGATATGAACATTTTCAAACATAGATATAGAAAATATAAATATCCATACTCCCATCACTTAGAATTGGACAGTTAACATTTTGTCCAAAAAAGCAAACAATAAAAAGGACCCCAAATATAATCATTTTATTCTTCACTACCTGTTTTAGTTTCTTTACCTGATCATTTTTTTTAACTTTATCATGGATCCTCACAAACATACAAAATTAGAAAGAGCAGTATAAAATGTCCCTCTGTATTTGCCATCTACTTTGCATAGTTATCCATATGTGGCCAGACTTGTTTCATTTAGTTCTCCCCTCCTGTCCCACTTGATTATTTAAAGCAAATTCTAGATAGTAAATTCCTTCATTTGTCAATAATTGGAATACACCTCTAAAAGAGAGGTACATACCTTACAAAGAATAATTCTTGGGGCAGGGGTATAGCTCAGAGTACTTGCTTACTTAGTACATGCAGGACCCTAGGATTGATCCAACAAATGATAATTATTTTGTCATCTAATATTATTAGTATTCCCATTCTGTGACTGTTTTATAAATTCTTCTCCTCCTCCTTCTCCTTCTCCTTCTCCTTCTTCTTCTTCTCTGGCTTGTTTTCATTTAGGATCCAAACAAGGCCCACCCATAGCACCTGGTTGCTACATCTCTGAAATCTCTTAATTGTTAACTATTCTCCTTTGTTGTCTTTGTTTTCTTGGCACTTATTTGTTAAAGAAAGGGACTGTTTGCCCAGCACTGCCTTCTACAGTCTGGCACTGACTGTGTCCTGTGATGACACTTAAGTATTCCACCATTCCCCGGATTTCCTGTAAAATGGTAGTTAGATCTAAAAACTTGATCAGATTCAGATTCAGTTTTTTGGCCAAAACACTTCATTGGATGCTGAGGACTTAATTCCCGTTGATCTCTCTTCATGTGATGTTCAGATTCTCAATGGATACATCCATTGCTAATTCTCATTTCACCACTATTCCTTATTAGTGGTTAAAAAAAAAATAGTTATTTTTCAATTCTATTATTTTTCTGCATGTGTTCGTTGGAGTTATTTTGTCACCTTCAAATGCAGTCTTTATGGGGAAACGAGATAAAATGCTCGATTCGTTTTCTTTACTTACCACTTTTCAAAGTAATGAGTTGTTGCCCTAGTAACCTCCCAAGGTAATGTGTTTTTATTTTCAGTATCATTTCAAACTAGTGAATTTTAAATGTTTTACCTACTTAATTATATTGCAGTTACTCTTTTGGAGGCTCAAATGATTCTATTCTTGACCGGTGAGAGCCCTTTCATTGGCTATTATGTCCTTTTGCCATGTCCCTAGTGATATCTGATGATTTCAGGGTCTGAAATGTTCCCAGCTCATCCTGTACATTTCTTGCCCAAGACAAGAATCAGCCACTTCTCCAAGAGTTCCTGATTCATTTTAGTGGGACATGGTATTTACAAACCACTAATCTGGGCACCGAGAATTCTCAATACCCTGTGTTGTTGGTACTTCTAGTTTTCAGAAGACAAGCTAGGGTATAGACATTTATAAAGAGAACAATGAAATATGAGTTCATAGTGCTCTTACGAGTTCATTTTGAAGATGGTAGAGTTTGAACATTTCTTCAGTTTCTATATTTGTAACTCATTTCTCTTGGGTCAAAAATCTTGATCCTGATGATATTAACACAACTACTTTATACTGTCTTTGTTTTTATATACATATAGTAGGATAAAGCAAATAAGTAATTTTGCTAATGCTTTAAAATAACAATCCTAATACTATTATAGCAATACTGAATTCATTTTTAAGTTTCTTTGTTCTTTTTGTCCAAGTTCCCCATATTTAAAGTTAAAATATTGGGTTTTTAAACTCACGTAAAACATTCCTTCTCTTTGTCATTTGCGCATCAATCTAACCTTGATTCCATTTTCCACTTTAGTGGTTTAACCTTTTTAAGTTGAATTTTGTTTTGTAATTGTGTAAAAGCCATATACATGGCTCCAAAATTGAAGCTACAAAACACGAGCACTGAAGCAGTTCAAGGTAAATACGGATCTCAAGTATTTCAAGGTAAATACAGACTTCATAACATTTTGCCCCTAAATATTTCCACATGCATCTCTGAAAAAGAAAAATATTCAATATCATCTAAAACACAGCAGTCTATATTCACATTGCTGCAAACATGATCTTCCCTGCTGGCTTATGCAAACCAAGGAAGGTTGGGTGCATTTGGTTATGAATGTTAAAGTTTATTTTTATCCTGCCACAGTTCCCCTACTGCTACTTTTTTTTTTTTTTTAATGACATTTTTTTTTTTCATGACAAAGTTTTTCACTGCTGTTGCTGGGGTTGAATGCAAGTTCTTGTGCATGCTAAATAGGCCCCCTACCATAGCAGAAAGCCCAGGGGCCCCCTTGACATTGATTTTTTTTTTTTTTTTGGAGAGACCAGCCAGTTTTCCTACAGACACCTCCTGGAGGTGTCTAATTGTTTTCACATGGTCTCATTGTATTTACTCCTGTAACTGATTCTTCTATAAATTAGAAGTTAGATCCAAATGCTTGATTAGATGCAGGTTATTCCCGTTGGGGAGGCATACTGGAGTACTGGGAGACTTGGGTTGCTAAGTAGAAAGTGCTTTTGTGAGACACTGAGTTGAGGTCTCTGGTCACTAGAGAGGTGGGAGGTGTTTTCCTAACTGAACTTATTGAGAGTCTGGATAAGTTTGTTATAGAACCTTGTGCCCTTTCTCCTTCCTCAGTCTTTTCCTCTTCTGGGGGTGTGCTAGGATGGGAAGGGAGGGAATGGGCTTGTTGCATATGCTGCTGCAGTGTGGAAGCTGCCTCAGTCTCACCTGGCCCACGATTTTTCCGTGCTCAGATCCCCCGCTGCCTCTCACTGTGGGATACACAGGCACTGAAGTGGGCAAATGTCCTGCTTCCAGCATCCTTTTTTCCAGCTGTTCAGGTGGCAGGGACTTCAAGGATCTCTTCCCAAGGGTTTCCTGTTAAGGTGGCTGCAATTAATTTAGGAGATGGTAGAAGAGGGAGCTTCAGAAACTCCTTAGAGTTAAGCAAAACTCAGGTGAAGGGCTCAGTCCTCCTCACCCTCCCTTCTGATCAGCTGGCTACAAATTCCCACTGCACCCTCAGGTTTAGTAATTCACTAGAGCCACTCACAGAACTCAGGACAACCCTATATTTAGGATTGCAGTTTTATTATTGCAACAGAATGCAAATCAGAACTGGACAAAAGAAATGACACATGGGGTGAGGTCTGAGAGGGTCCAAATGTGAGGTTTCCTGTCATGCCTTCTCATGGAGTCACGGATGTGTTTCTCTTTCAACTACAATATGTGACAGTACCCATTGCCAACCAGGGGAGCTCATGCAAGTCTCTGGTGTCCAGAGTTTTTATTTAAGCTTGGTCACATTTTTCCTGCATGGTTGACCTTTGATTTCTAGATCTTCTAAAGGTCCAGGCAGTACCTTTAATCTCCAACTTCCTCTGGAGGTATATTCCAAAATATTACATTGTTGAGTTGGTCCAGGCCCCTGGGCCATCAAAGACACATCTACAGGGGCCTGGAAGTCACTTCTTAGGTACAGAGGCCAAAAGCCCAACCTCTCTTGAGTTACAAGAGTATTCAAGAGGGGCTGTAGTGGTGTAGAGCATTTGCCTAGCATGTGTGAGGCACTGGGTTCAGCTTTCAGCACTGCTTATAAATAAATGAATAAAATAAAGGTCCATCAACAACTAATATATATACAGAAACTGTGGTTCCTTTGCTTTGAGAAAGTAGATTTTCAATTTCTGGCATGTGGCTGGTGGTCATTCTCACCAGTTTTCTGACCCCAGGCAGCACACCCAACACTGTTTTGGGCCTCATTAATTTAATTTATTATTAAATCTGTTAATAAACTGATTGAACAGATGAATTCTGAGGTTTCCTGGCTTTGGGATTCTTTCTTCCAAATAATGCTAACAGGAAGGGAAGACAGAGAAATGTCCTATAGAGAGGCCCCGGTTTGTAGCCATAGTGCTGAATGAGCTGGGTGCTTGGTCTGCCAGAGGCAGGATCTAATGTTGCCTGCCTAAATAAATGTATGATCAGAAAACAAACTGAACCCTTTTTTCTTTTCTTTTTTTGACACAGGAAATTGAACCTAGGGGCACTTAACCACTGAGCATCTTCAGCCTTTATAATTTTTATTTTTTTATTTTGAGACAGGGTCTCACTAAGTTGCATAGGTGCTTGCTAAGTTGCTGAGGCTGACCTCAAACTTGTGATCCTCCTGCCTCAGCCTCCTGAGCCTCTGGGATTACAGGCTGCACCACTGTGCCGACAAAACTGAACCCATTCTCATGAGAGCTGGAAGAGGAG